CCCCCCCCCCAGCCCCAAGCCACCCCAGGGAAAAGCATCACTTCTTCAGAGAACCTTTACTCTGCCCCTTGCAGGTTCTGGGGTGGATGAGGAGATAGTGTGCGCTACTCAGCTTCCTGGGTTCCTCTGAAAACTTCCTGGAGTCCAGTGAGATGACAGAGTCATCCAGGAAGCTGAATAACAAATACCATTTCTTCAGCCACCCCAGCACCTGCATGGGCCACACTTTCCACACCAAACCCTGTAACTGAGCCCCTGTTGATCATGCAGCACATTTCTTGTCCCTCCTCCTGCCCATGGACACACCTTGAAGCCAAAAGGCGCATAGCCTTTATACAGTTTAGCTTTGTGAGTGCCCAGAGAGATGCAATTGGTTTTGGTTCCTGTTTTCTCTTTCAGACGGGGTTCCAGCCCAGCGAGTACCTGGAAGTGCACCCCAAATTCCACCAGAACTATCCCATCAGTCTAGCAGGAACCATCCAAGATGTAGTCAACCCTCACCAGAACTACTCCTCAGGGCAGAACCCCTACGCGTTCATAGCCAGTGAGGAGGGGGGGGTCTTTGGCAAAGGTGGGGCCACCTGTAGCGTCCAACAGACAGTGGGATTCATTGCCCAGCGCAAAGTAGACTTTTATCATGGCTTCTCTGGGACCATGGAATACACTGGCGCAAAGACAGGAGATGGCTATAGCTTCCACGCTTCAGCCACTGTGGCACCTTTCCCTGGCACTGCTGGCCACCATCTGTACCTTCCTGAAGCAGAATTAATGCAAATGGCCCAAAGCAATTGTCACTAAATCCCTTCCTTTCCCTGCATCTCTCACGCTCTCTCCTGCTTGGGGTAATTACACAACTCTGTCTCTCCCTTACATTCAGATACATGGGCTCACTCATACAATTCATATGCAGTCACTTAACAAAACACACACACGTGTGTGTACTCACACACTTACCTTATAGTGAAACTGAGTTATCTTTTTAAAAATAACCCAGCTCATCCACAAGATATGGGCAAGAATCACTATGTAAAATTCACTGGCCTGTGGTATGTAGGTGATCATATTCATTGATCATACAGTCCCTTCTGGCCTTTCTGTCTATTACCATATTTAGGCTGTTTATATTAAGGCTTGCTATGTTTACTGTTGAAGTCTAGAGAGCCAAGGTGTTTTTAATTATGCAAATAAAAGTAATGATTTTTTTCTACCATAAAATATTTTTCTCTTTATTTAACACATTGGACAAACTACAGGATGCTGCAACATGTGAAAACACAGAAACACCCTATGTGAGCTAGCTAAGCATGCCTAACATGGCATTATTATTGACTGCAGTACAGTGGTGCTGCAAGGAGCTTCCTGCCAAGGCTAACACTGGTGGAGAACAACTGACAAGTTAGGAACACTAGAAACCTTAGTGTAGCTATGCTAGTGGTCACTCGCCATTTTGGGGGTAGGCCTGGCCTGAGTATTCGATGACACTGGGGCCAGTTTAAGGCTCATGATCCGATGCCTAGAGTACCAGCTTCTAGCCATGTGATTTACATCCAAATCTCCTGGAGTAAGGGATTTTTTTTTTACCTCTTTTTACTTAAAGTATTGTATAGTTAAAACTTGACACACTGACCTGAATATAAAGGATGCAGGAGTATCAGGTATCTGCAGACAATGAAACAATAGCTCTGAGAGGCATGACCTGCCCTGTTCATTTCAGTGGGGTGTGAACGCCACTGTCAACTTGTTAACACTTCCCCAGCAGAAGACTATTAAGGGGGAAAAGGGGCGTGTTGCTTAACTATTCCTTTTATCAAGATTGCTCCTCCATTAAGGTGCAAATGAACATGTCTGAAGCTGGATACAAGTTAAATGAACTCATTTGAGCTAACACCTTTAAAGAAACAAAAATCCTGGCATCCTCTGCCATCTCCATTCAGAGCATGGGATGGGGCTGTGCATATGTAACTGGGTGTCTGTACCGTCTGGCATAGGGGTAGCATCCACATCCAGAGAGAATAATGAGTCTGCTCTATTCTACAGTCTTAGCTGAGAGCCCACTGGTTTTTAGCTCATGTGCCTCATGCAGTAAGCTCCAGGGCTACGTCTACACTGGCATGATTTTCCGGAAATGCTTTTAACAGAAAAGTTTTCCGTTAAAAGCATTTTCAGAAAAGCACGTCTAGATTGGCAGGACGCTTTTCCGCAAAAGCACTTTTTGCGGAAAAGCGTCCGTGGCCAATCTAGACGCGCTTTTCCGCAAAAAAGCCCCGATCACCATTTTCGCGATCGGGGCTTTTTTGCGGAAAACAGTACTGTGCTGTCTACACTGGCCCTTTTGCACAAAAGTTTTTCGGAAAAAGACTTTTGCCCGAACGGGAGCAGCATAGTATTTTCGCAAAAGCACTGACAATCTTACATGAGATCGTTGGTGCTTTTGCAGAAATTCAAGCGGCCAGTGTAGACAGCTGGCAAGTTTTTCCGGAAAAAGTGACCAGTCTAGACACAGCCCAGAAGTTTCAATTCTGATCCTGCCAGTGTAAGTGGGGGTTCATCTGGGAAGTCTCTGATGCTGAAAATGCACTTCTGCAGCTAGGGGAAGTATGTAACCCACATACCTCCTGGGTGTGCTGCACTGTCCCATCTAGGGGCACCAAGACCACTTTCAGGGTACGTCTAGACTGCGAGGATCTATCGGAAAAGATATGCATTGAGTCTGGTGTTTAGCGCATGTGGTAAAGCAGTAGTGGGGAACCTATGGCCCTGGCTTGCTTTGATCCGTCTGGTGAGGCTCAGGGTTCCCCCACCCACCCGGGGCCTCAGCTGAGGCTCATGCTCCAGCCACAGGGCCCAATCCAGGCAAGCTGAGGTTGGATCTAGTCTGTAGGCTCTGCCTGGCAGTGGGGAAGCAGCTTTATGGAAGTGCTCCATGCAGGCATCCCCCCACATTGTTCCCATTAGCCAAATCACAGCTGGGGGAGGGGGAGTGCCCTACAGCGCAGAGCTGTGTGGAACTGAGTAGGCTCCTGCACCCCCTTCCAAAGCCCCCCACTCAGACCTCCACCCCTAGCCCACTGCTGCACCCCCTTCCAGACCCACAACTCCACATGCCCACTCCCTACCAGACCCCTCTCACACCCTCCCTCCCACCTATAGCCCCATCCCCCACCTGTACCCTACCTCCTGCCCAAATTCCACATTCCCAGCCCACTCCCCAGAAGCTCCTTCCCATGCGCTGAGCCCCTAATTTTTGGCCCCAGCCTAGAGCCCCATAAAAATGGACTAGCTCCGGTCCCGGTTTTTTTTTATGCATCTCAGTTGGTGGCCAGATCTGAACATTTTTTTCTTCTCTTGGAGACCAGGGCAGTGATGGTTGGGTTTGTTTAGTTTTTGCTTCTCACTTTCATATGGCCCCCAACTAATTTTTCTGTGGGTCAGTGACCCCCGACACAAAAAAGGTTCCCATCTCTGCAGTAGAGGCTCATGTTCTAAGTTCCAGAAGGCCCAAGTTCAGTTCCACCTGGCAGTGTTACACAAGGTTTGTTGCCTATCCGGGGATTGTCCTTTGAGGCAGCTGCCCCAGAAAGTCCATAAGGGTACTCAGCCCATACTGCTGTCTATTATGGATGTGAACAGATAGCCAGTTCACAGGTGATGCTTACTGGCTACCAGTTAACCAGTACTCAGGAACGGGCCCCCACCCTCAGCCTGCTATGGGAGGAAGGCTGCTCTAGCCCTGCAGGGGTTGAGAATCTGCCCCTGCAGGGGTTGAGAATCTGCCCCTCTCCCCCAGATCTGCCCCTCTCCCCCAGAAATTTCGCGGGGCCCCCCCTTTGACACGGTGCATGCGCTGTGGCGCCACGGCACATGTGCAGGGCCTCGGGAAGCGCGGGGCCTGGGGCAGCCGCCCCGCTCGCCCTGCCCTAAATCCGCCGCTGGCCACAATAGTAAATCAACCAAAGAATTCTTCCATCAATCTTGTATCTACAGTGGGGCTTTGGGTATAACAACAGCACACAACAGGGCATGACATTTTTCCACAGCCCTGAGCAGTGTTGTTAAGTCATTTCCCCTCTCCAATGCCTTTCTTCCTAGTTTGGTGAAAGGGAGATGCCAATTTATCACACACACTCTGAATGTGGTGCAATTCATCCATATTTTCAAAGTGCTGAGATTTTTTTTTTTTGAGAGAGAGAAAAGCAAAGCACATAGCCCTGATTAATGTCATGGCTCACCCACAAAAATCAGAAGCCACTAGTTCCATTCTCATCCAGAGGGATTGTCACCTCAGGGGTGGGAACTGGGGAGGGGGAAGCTGCCCTGTGCATATTGTATTTGAGGAGCAGAGGATATGTTTCTCTGGGTACATTCCCTGGGCGCCTATCTGGTACCTTTCCCAGCATTATTGCAGTTCGGTTGCCAAGCAACTGATTCTACATTCCACGTCTACAGCCCACACGTTACAGTCTAGCTACATCTGCGTCTGCAGACATCAACATGGAGAGAAAGAATGATGACACAGAGCAAGACAATTCCTGTAACACTGAAGGACTGGTGTTGAGCCACAAGAGAGAAAACAGAGACTGAAAAACACCGGAACCATCTCCCTCAAAAACCACCAAGTGCATGTATGAACTGGGGAAAGGAGCACAGGGGTGGGATGCAATGCTTCAACATCTTCACCTTGAACTGAATAATGGGCACTATTGCCAGTTCTTAGTGGTATATTCAAAACCGTTAAAATGAGAAGCTTGAAACTATGATTTGTAAAGGACTTCCTGGTCCCACTTGCAGGCAAAGAGTTTCTGTAGGGAGCAGCTGGGACTTTCAGCTGCATCCTGCAAACAGTCTACAGCCAGCATGCAGCAAGCTGGTGAACACGGAGGTGTGATGGGTGTGAGGTGCCTGTTTTGGAGCCTGCTTGGTCTGGTTTTCTTTGGGTTGTGTGTGTTGGAAGCCTAGATTTGAAGAAATAGTGTTACTTTGTTGACTTCCTGAAAGAGGTCATGTTTCTTATCTGATTTTTGTTTATATCCCACAAATAATACATTCTTGTGTTTTTTTTAAGTCTAAGCTGTGTAAATCAAGAGACTGCCTAGCTTCCATTAGAAAAACTACGTTTCTAGACCTCAAGGGTGCAGAGAAATCAGAAGCCAACCAAAAAGCACTCAACCATTTACTGTTTTTAAAATTCTGATTTTGGGGGCCCTCCAATCATGATATTTAGACTCTTGCAGTTGGCAATACTCCATGCTTTCTCCTTATCTATGCTGGTGAAGTTATCCCCATTAACCATTTTACATTCCTTCATCCTGAAGGATGAAAAGTTATTACAGTATATCACAGAATTGACACCACGTTAAAATAAATTCAGTTTATTTTTCCATTCAAATGTAAACATGAGTATATAAAAACAGACAGGGAAAAAAAACGAATAAAACAGATGCCGTGTGCCAAAACAAGTTAAATCCCATTGTAAGTAAAAAGGTTTTTTAAAAAACATAAAAAAGAAAAATATATATACCTAGCAATCTGTGATAGTAAACGCCTATTTACTTTGCATTAAGAACGTAAGCAGGACAAAGTTCTTGTGCAGATAAGATAATATATGAATTTTTCTCTCAGTGTTAACAACAAACACTACATAAACCACCAACACCCACTACTCAAAATAAACAAATATTTAACATGTAATTCATTCATTTTTCACCACTGATGCCATGTATTTACTTTTTTGCACTTGGCCTAGGAAAGTGCAACAAAGCTGGAGGTTGTGCATGACCTTATTAAGTTCCACTGCACTGCAGGGGACAATTACTTTTTTAAAAACCTGTTTTTAATTGACATTTAAGAGACATTTATGAAAACATTTGTATTTATAGCAAGTTAGGGGTTGGGTTTTTTTTTAAGTCCCACCTCACTTTCCCTCCCCCACAAAGCTTAAACACTGAGTCTACGAAAAGTTGACAGTGTCCCACTTTATATAAAGAAATAGATAAGTAATCTAATTAGGCTGCAGAAATGTCTCCCCAAAGAGACTGAGGGAATCCCCATTAGCTCAGTCAATTAAAACCAGAATTGGACAAGAAACAGTAGGGTACAATCCTGCACTGGCCCTGGGAGAATGGGAGATAGGATCTAACAGGATTATCCACCAGCTCTAGGAGGATCTAAGTTAAGTGACCTAAGCATCAGGCTTGAAATAACTAGAATATTTTTGTCTGATTGCCACCCTTCATCTGAGAGTGGTCTCATTCCAGGGGTGCTGTGTTTGCCATTTGTGAAGTGCTATGGGATCCTTCAAGTATACCAGGGTTCGCCGAACTGCGGCAAGCCCCGCTCGCCAGCCACGCTGTCCAGCGATCTGCACATGCGCAGATCATTCTGTGCATGCGCAAATCGCTCGAACCTGGCTCTTCCGGGTTGCAATCTACTCGTTACGGGCAAGTAGACTGCATTATTTGTCGAGCCCTGCGTACTACTACTGGAAGAGAAGCAGATGGATACCTGATCAGTTGCTCTCAGAGCGCTAGTGATTTGTGAAGCAATAGCCAGGGACGAGATGGGCCCGGAGCCTGCTGGCAGAGTAGAGCAGGGGAGATGTATTGGGAGAGCAATTAGAATGAGATTTGGGCACATCCTAGATGGAGTGACATGAACAAGGAAGTTAGCCACTTGATAAACACACCAGATAATTTTTTCTTGGATGAGGATATAAATTTAATCCTCTGCATTTCCTTACTCAGTACATTCTCCATCTTTCTTCCTTCTTCCATCCCTCCCTGTCTGCCTCCTTTGTTCCTCTTTCTCAGTCTCCCTTTCATTCCCTCCCTTCTCTCTTTCTCCTAATTACACAATGAATTGAAATTCAAACCTGAGCTCCATTCACCCCCATGCTGGTCCAGATGCTTAGCTGGTGCAAATGGTGATGTCAAAGCTGATTTGCATCAACTGAGGACTGGGCCCAAAATACAGATTCCAGTGTTTGGCAAATATACAGGCTCTAAAAGAGAAGTGACTACAGTTATTTATGATAATTGAAATGTGGGATTTTTAAGACTAGTTGATGGTCAGGGCAGGGCTATCCCCTGTTAATATGTTACCAAGGTTGGCTGGTGGCTAATAGGAGAAAGAAACGAAGAGGGAACATTTCAGGTTGTATAATCAGGATACATTTTTTTAATCAGAAAGGGATGTGGTGATGGGAAGAAGAGGCTTTCCTCAAGGAAAACTCCATGCCTGGGCACATTTCAAACAAGGCCTGGAAATGATCTACAGAGGGGATACTGCAGTAGTAAGGACACTGGGGTATGGAAAGGACTCACAGGTATACTCTCATCTCGAAACATTTACACTTCCCTGCATTAACATGGCTTTCCATACACATACAGGGCCTGTTCCTGGAGCCAGCCAGGGTCAATATGAAGAAAGCCAACTTCAGAGCCATGCAGCACACTTCCTGAGTTACACACAGACAGGTGCCTGTTAAAGAAGAGAAGGGAGAGAGACACTCCTGCACTCTGCAACGTGCCAAGTCCCTTCCAATGGAGTCAGTGGGAGCCTGGGGATTCCATGTCTGAGGACCAGGGCCCGAAAGAACTGAGGCTGGAGAAGAGGAATGGCAGAAACAGTGGGAGAGGGAAGGAAAAAGGAAAGTACAGGTCTAAGAGTTAAAGTTGCTTTGTGTCCCTTGAGGGTACCATGCTGGCTGGTACTGCTGGCGCCCCGCAGAGCCTGGGAAGGACATCGCATTGACAGAGGCATTCTGGAAGTGGTAGCCATCTTCTGTCTCCCTGCTGGCATAATCCATGTTTGCTGGGTAGCCATGATATAAGTTCACCTTTTGCTGGCTGAAGAAGCCCATTGTCTGTTGGGCACTGCAGGCCCCCCCGGGTTTCCCAAAGAACCCCTCCTCCTCAATAGCCATGAAGGGATACAGGCTCTGGCCACTCCCATAGGTGTTACTGCTACTATAGCTCTGATGCACATTGGTCACAGTCTGGATGTTCCTGCTGGCACTAACAGGACAACCCTGGTGGTAACTGGGGTTCATGTCCAGGTAACCTGCCTGATGAAAGCCACTCTGAGAGAGACAGAGAGAAGGTGGTTCAGTACATAGATAAAGCAAACAGTACTGAGGCTCCAATAGCACAAACCAATTATGAACTCTTCTTCATATATTTCCAATGCACAACATATACATTTCCAGTACACTAGGATCTATGCCAGGCATGGGCAATAATTTTTGATGGGGGCCATTTCAAGAATTTGGAAAGTGGTTAGGGGCCCCACTTTTCCATGATATTAATGGAGAGAGTGTGGGGTCTAGGCAGTTTGGATGAAGGGGGAAGAGGGGTCTGGAAAGAGGTTTGGGCTCAGGAGAGGATTCTGGCCTGGGGGAAGGGTGCAGGAAGGAGTGCAGGGTCTGGGAAGGAGCTATGACCAGGGACAGGGGTGCAGAGGTTTGGGCTGTGACCTGGGGCAAGGAGTCAGGGTGTGGGAGGAAGTGGATTGCCAGGTGCAGGCTCTGGCCTGGAGATGCTTACCATAGGCAGCTCCTGGCCAATAGCCCAGGAGACCCTCAGGAAAACTTCCTGCCTTCTGGGGCCATGAGCATCTCTGCATAGCACACCTTCGGGAGGGGAGAGTGTCTCTGTGTGCTGCATGCACCTGCAAGCATGACCCGACAGCTCCCATTGGCTGGTGAGCTGTAAGGATTGTGCTGGAGGGTAGGGACAGCACATGGAAACCTCTTGCAGACGCACATGGCCCCCATCAGCTGGCTGCTTTCAGTGGTGTGGAGGATGCAGCAGGACATCGGTGGCCCACGATATTGTGATGGGTCGTATCCAAATGTTTGGCAGGCTGTATTTTGCTTATCCCCAATCAATGAACTGCCACAATATAAGTAACAATATCCTGCAGGTGAAAGACTCCCTACCCCATTCCCTGCTCCTCCAGGACCGACTGTACTGCAACTGTCCATATGCCATTCTCTGATCCAAACACGGCCCCCTGACCTGAGACCCAAGAAGCAGAAAGTTCTGTTCTTCTTCCCCAAGATCCAGCCAAACCCCAATGTAGGCTTAAATTACGTGATTCAGTAAACAGAGAATAAATGAATACTGCAATGGAAATAAACACTGAGCAAGTCTGGTTACAGACCCCATGAGAATCCCATATTAACTGGATAGCAAACATGTATATGATAGATATTATAGGTCCCCCTTGGCAACTGCCCATAATGAAACCTCTTCTTACTTGGGATAGGCATGTCCCTTTTTCCATCCACTGTGTTTCCTTCTGGCATCGTTTAAACTTCATCCGTTGGTTTTGAAACCATGTCTTTACCTAGAGGTGAAGAGGATAGGAGATGGGGTATCCCTTTTTAGACAGAGCTCGCAACATACTTTTTAGACAATACACACATTAATTGCTTCCCCCACTATGGACATTTTGGGTTGGAAAATGGGAAGCCGTGGCAATTATACACAATTTAGAATGTGAAGAACACAACTGTGTCCAACTGAAAACAGGAGAATTTAGGGAGGCAAATTAGGACAGTTACCCCACTACACATAACCATGGGATCTTCACGATCAGACTAGTAGAACCTCCACTTCTGTATGAAAGATGGACCAGAGCCCCACACCACTTTCTGCAGTGTTATAGGAAGATGCTCTAACACTAGGGGCGGTATTGACTCACATGGAGAGTACACACCAGGTCGCCCACGCCTTTCTCTGCCCCTGCCATGACGCTGGGGCAATTGGGTCAGCAGTGAACTCCCTCTACAGAACAAAAGAAATGGGACTCCTCATTGCCTGCCCCTTGTTTGCTCTTGAGTGCCAGTGCAAAGTGGATGTCTAACCTTGGGTGAGCAAGAGGAGACTTCTTACTGGGAGCATTTCACAGCCTCCTGCACAGATGTCGCTGAAACAAGAGGCCAGGCAGTGGAGTGTCTGACCTGGCCCTGGAGCTCTCCCACTGAATAACTGACCATCTTTGTAAGACCATCTCAAATCAGGGCTGCAGCCCAGGCACCGGGATGCTAATACTCTACAGAGCCAGATCTCAGTGTTCACCTGCTTGTAAGTCAACCCCAGGGCTGAGCCCAGCTCGCGGATCTGCTGGGGGCTGAGGTATTTCTGGCTCTGGAACCGCTGGTGCAGGGTTTGCAGCTGCTCCTGAGAGAAGGCCGTGCGGGTCTTGGCTTTCTTCACCCCTCCTCCGCTCCCCCCGCCGCCCATGCGGATCGCAGGGTGTGGGGATGGGGGCGCGGCGTTGGGGCTGGTGGCCGAATCCGGGGTGTAGCGCAGGAGCGTGCCCGAGCTGGAGGAAGCGGGCGAGAGCTCTGGGGAGAGAGAAAGGAAAGTGGCCGAGGTCAGTCGCTCAGGGATAACTTTCGGGCACGGCCTGATGCCGCTGCCCCGCAGACATGCCCGCTGCACGAGCTGCCGCCCGACTTGAGAGCGCGGCTACAGGCAACCTCGGCAGGCACCCGCGAACGCAGGATCCTAGAGAACAGAATCGCTCTCTGCTGCCGCCTGGCGGCGCTTCCCGGCACTGCCTGCTCGAGGGCTAAATGGGCCGCCAGCTGCTAAATTCGTATTAGAAATAAACCCTGCGCCAGACATGCCCTAAGTAACAGCCCCACGGATCAATCCAGGGCAGCCTTGAGTGGGGACTGTGGAGAGCAATTCCCTGTTGGCCCCGGCGGCGAAACTGTCTCCTGAGGGCTGGGACCCAAGGAATTGCTCTGATGCAGCTTCCACCCCGGCCCTGGGACAGGCGTCTGGGGAAGAGTGGAGGTGGTGGGAGAAGAATGACCCGAGGGGACCCCGGGTGTCTGCAGGAGCCTTGGGAACCCGTATATGCCAGACAGACACCACCAGGCTGGCTGGTTGCCACCAGCTCCAGTCCCCCCCCCCCATAGAGAAAAGCCCCCCTGGGGAGACCCCACCCAGGAGTTGCCTGTCTCCAGCGTTGGGAGCCGATCCTGGGGGCTCCCCGCACCCGCCTGCTCCGGCCTTTTTGCCCCCTCCCTGTTTGCCTCTTCCCGGGAAGAGGCTGGTTCGGTCCCCAGCGGAGCCGGTACAGTGGCAGCGCCTCTCTCCCTTCCCGCCTGTGGCTCATCCCCTGCGTGGACCTGGTTCAGCCGTGGGCAGGATAGGCAGAGTGGCCGCGGCTAGTGGCTTCCCTGCGTGGCCAGACACGCGCTAGCCCTTCGTAAAATGGCCCCCGCCTCCTCGCGCAAAGCCCGGCCAGGTACTAGCGCCTGCGGGACCAGGCCCGGCCGTGAGCTAGCGCCTTCCGATCCACGTGTCCAAAGCGCTGCGGAGACCGGCCCTGGCTGGGGCCGCTCTGTCCCCACACCAGCTTGCTCCGGGAGGGCCGGGTAAGCGCCCACCAAATGCCCCGGACTATTTTGAGTCCATCCTTTATGTCTCCTCTTCCCCCTTAAAAACCAGTGCAGGAGCAGCGGCCTGTTGCCTTGCCTAGGCAAGCTCCCGAGATCAGGCCTCCCATACCCGCCCCCTGCTGAATCGCTTCAGACAGCAATAAATCACCTTCCCAGGGTCTGCTTCAGCCATTCCGAAGCTGACCTACCTGGGTTAGGGAGGGGCTTCTCCTCGGGCTCCGGCACCGCCACATCAGCGTCTGCTGCCTCTTTGTGGGGGGCACTGTCCATCTCGCCCGGGCAGTTCCAGTAGTAGTCTCCATACTTGATTCCAGTTCCTACCCCGGCGGGGTAAGCCTGGTAGGCGGGCATTGCCAGGTGGGCACTCATGAGTGTTTGTGTTTGGGGAACGTTACCCCCAAATAAACCCGGATCTCAGACGTGGAGATGGACAGGGACCGACTATCGGACGAACAGACAAACCCAGATGCCCATAGAGCCAGGATGGGGGCACATTTATGCCCTTCCTAACTTCGCCTTGATTAGAGAGAATTTGTCAAGGCCATTGTCATGTTAAAAGTCAGTCGATTGGAGGGGAGTGGCTCTGGATTGGGAGGTGGAGCGAAGGGGACGGGGTTGGGGGGAAAGTGAAAAAAATGAGAGCTCAATTTGGGTAGTTTACAAACACGCTTTTCAAAACTTAAATGTAATAATGGATACCCCCAAAGTCTGCTCCCTCCTGCTGGGTCTGAATGTGTACAGCGGTCCTTATGCTTCAGAAAGCCATGATCTGTTACCTAGGCTTGCTAGAGATACAGAGCTGTGTCCCATGCACAGGGTGGTTTGGTCACACCGTATTGTATCAATAGCAGGCTAAGTTCTGCGGATGGATAATTTAAAAATCAGCAAGGCAAAGATTTATTTTTCTCTGATGTGTAATGCATTATTAAATAAAGGTGAGGTAGACCATTTAAATGGCCAGCACTCTGCAATTGTACCTGTGCAACAAAAGGCTTGCTCAGATTGGTAGAAAGGCGCCTAAAATTTGGCTATCCCTTAGGCAGAGTGCAAAATATTTTAATACTCAAGGCAGAGCAATTTCCTTCTCACTTTAGCAATAGGCTTGGCACTACTTCCATGTCAGTGTATCCTCCTCCCCCGAAACGTCAGTGGCACGAGTAGGTCTTTTCTCCCCTATATATTGTAGAAGTGGGCTGTGCCCACGAAAGCTCATGATACCACCTACATGTTTTGTTAGTCTATAAAGTACTACCTGACCATGTTTTTTTTTCTGTAACCGACTAACTCGGCTATCCCCTGAAGCTCCCTTCCTAATGTACAGCTCCCCCTTTCTCAACTCAGAGTTAACTCAGACTCAAGAGCGACGAGGAGTCCTGTGGCACCTTATAGACTAACTGAAGTGTAGGAGCATAAGCTTTCGTGGGCAAAGACCCACTTTGCCCACGAAAGCTTATGCTCCTACACTTCAGTTAGTCTATAAGGTGCCACAGGACTCCTCGTCGCTTTTGCAGATTCAGACTAACACGGCTACCCCTCTGATATCAGACTCAAGAGTTTCCCCTGGGGCATGAGAACACATGTGCCTTGCACTGTAGATGTAAAAGCAAAAAGCCTTTGGGGTGTATAATTGCAAACAGAGAAGCATTCAATCTCCCTGAAAATAAATACAACAATAGTTTAGGGCTTTCCTCCTCCGTAGCAGTTAATTTAAGTATTTGAATTGTGGGGAGATGAGTTGAAAGCAGAGCAGGTTTGCTCATTTGATGCTATTTGTTTGGGTATTATCAAAATCCCCAGAACTGGATTTATAGGGAGGCAGCACCTGTAGATACTTCTTACTCCTGGTGCCTGACGTTTCTCTCTTCCTTTTTCTTTCCCTTTTAAAACTCTTCCCTAATTTTTTCTCTCGAAAGCATTTGTTTACTATGGCCTCTCTTTCTTCCCTTTCTCTCCCCTCCTCCACCTGAGCTCAACAACAGAAACCTCTTAAAAAGACACATTTTCCAAAAGCCTTGGAAAAGCGCACAGAAGTGCATTCCTCACACAAGCGTCAAATAAAGCTTATTTCGGGAGACGGGGGCTTAGCTTTCGACTTTAAGACTCTTGATTTTATTTTGGGGCGGGAGGAGGCATTCCTTTACAAAAATGAAAAATAAATAGGGGGAGACAGTGCCTCTTCCGCCATCTGTGCATTCAGCGCTGTATAAATCTGATGGGGGAGCAGCCTGGGGGAGTTTCTCCGCAGCACATCCACTTGGAACTCGGAGGGGGAGGGGAGTCCAGAGGCTGGCTCTGAAAGGAAAGGCACACCTGGAAAACAGGTACAGGAAACAGTAAGTTGATGCAGAAGAACCGCAGGCGTGAGGTGCCTGATCCTGAGCCATGGAAGTCAACAAACTTTGCCAAATTGTCTTTGACTTCGGAGCAGGCCCCAAATGTCTGGGTTCATGGAATTTTTTCCATAGTAGCCCTTCTCCCTGCAAAACAATCTAGAGAAAGGCAATAGCCTCGCCCGCCAGTGGACTCAGGCAGAGGGGGAACGAGGCACAGCAGGCACGAGACACCCCCTCCCGAAAGAATGCAAAGGTAGGGGGGAGGGAATCCCTCCTGGCACCAGACACACATGCAGAAACCCCCAGCGCGAGCCCGTGCGAATTTGAGCCAGGGTAGCGCGGCAGCCCATTCACTTGCAAACGAAGGCCGCTGGGAGGCATGTTCGAATCCTCCACCCCAAGGGGCGCTTGCAGAGGCGGCTTCCCGCAGCTGGGCGCTAGCCGTGTCGCAATGGCTGCGGAGACTTCACACGTCATGTAAACAGGCGGCGGGAGCGTTTGCTGTGCTGGCCGCAGAACTAGCCCATTTGGACGAGCTCTTAATTAATGGGGAGGGAGGACTTGTTGGGAACGTGGGTGGCCGGGCTGTGTCCTAGGCATCCAGGGGAAAGCTAACCGGGCTAAAGGGATGCATGAAATATAGAAACAGCACAAACCAGTGGCTGGGTCACCATGCCCGATCAATTCCCCATCAGGCATTCTTCACATTCCTAATTTAAATAAATAAAACTATCAGTGGGAGTTGATCTTAACTTTGCTTAATGTCAGTGGCAAAACTACTGCCTCGCACAGCTCCAGCATAAGCACTGTGTATTGCAACATTATCATAGCATGGGCTTTCTTAAAAAATAAGGCCCTGCAAAGAATTATACAAACGCTTAACTTTTAGGGTATGTATGTGGATAGCACCAGGAAAATTTGATGTCATGTTTATTCAGGGTTGGGTCCTCAGGGTTTAATTAATAAACAAAGAAAATATTATTTATTGTCATTATTATTTTAATTGACAAAACTGATCTATGGTGTCAATAAAAATTAGACATGAATGGACCCCTGTTGTTACAGTCACATGCATGTATGTCTTTGAAAAGTACACTACCCAAATGTTAATTTTCATGCTATTATAATAATAATCCCTACCTCTGCACATTGCTTTTCACTGGCACATCTCCAAGGCCACGTCTAGACTATAAGACTCTTTCGAAAGCGAGCATTTAGACTGCAACCACTTCTTTCAAAAAAGCAAGCCGCTTTTTCAAAAGAGAGCACCCAGGCAGTCTGGATGCACTCTTTCTAAAAAGCACAGTTTGCATTCAAGAACGCCTTTTTTTGAAAGAACACCTTTTTTTTGGAAGGTGTTCTTCCTTGTAAAATGAGGTTTACTGCGGTCGAAAACACTTCCACATTCTTTCAATTTAATTTAGAAAGAATGCAGTGGTAGTCTAGACTCAGGGGAAGTTTTTTTTTTTTAAAAAACTTTTTGGAAGAAACCCTGTAGTCTAGACACAAGCTAAGTGTGGTAGAGAGAAAGGAGAAAGATTTGTTTTCTAATGAGATTTAGAAAAGAAACAAAGTGTTAAATTCAGCCTGGGGCAAACAGTTCCCGCTGCCATTGCAGAGCGAGGTTTTGAGCAGTGGTAGAAATAGGGGGATGATGGGTCATTGACAAGCCACCTTGAGTTATACCCATTGGCTTGAAAAGGCACCACACATACACCTAGAAGCCATGGTGGTGAGAGGGCAGGTGTGGGGGAAGGATCACCTCTGAGGGAGGTAGATTAACCCAAGAGCGTCTACACAGAAGTGCTACGCAACTGTAAAATTTCAAGGGCAGACAACCTTAAGCCATCACCCACTGTTTGAAGTTCCTAAGCAGGGGATTGCACCTTGCCAGTGGTAGGCCCCGGTAAGTGAAAATTAGCACTGGATGAATAACCAATTTTTTAGTGTGGCAACTGACTTGAAAAATTAGAAGTCAAAAGTTTCAGCTCAAACCAAAACAATGTTTATTTAATTGCTCAATGAAATAAAAGCTGAACATTTTATTTAGGGTTGCCCTAAAATGAAAGGTTTTTCCCCTCACTTTCAAGATTTAAAAAATATTGTTAATGACTTTATTTATTATATTATATTATATTATATTATATTATATTATATTATATTATATTATATTATATTATATTATATTATATTATATTATA